CCGCAATGCAATAACTTACTGAAATGCATTAATGGACAACTGATTTCACTTGGAAACTCTAACATCAGCTATGTGGTATGTAGATAAATGATGTATCTTTAGGAATATTTATTGAACGACAGTGCAGTCTTATCATTTAATAGAGCCAGTTTCATTTTCATTTACATACTTCCGTACAGACTGGAAGTTCAGTAAGTCTCTGGATAACAGAAGGCTGCACTATTATTAACAAAACTAACAATGAGACCTAGGATTAGAAATAAATGAAGAAATAACCAGTCCGTGCAAGATTTTGTGGATTGTATCCACGTCAAAAGTATGTAAGCAAACTAACAGTTGGTAAAAAATAGATGCTTGTTTCATGCTGTACTGGTTCTTGGAACGCAAATAGAACTGTTCACTTGATAGCTCTAAATCTTTCTTTTCGATCATGTAGTGAAAAACTTTTAGGCAATATATCTGGCAATGTTACAAGAGAAAACTGAAACACTAATTCTGTCAAGGCAATCAGAACGAATTCAGTGGGACTGTTGTTCGATATCCTAACATGAAAGTTGAACATCACCAATGCCACTGTAGGACTGAGATAAATTCTAACATAAATACAAAACAGATTGTGGCAAGTTTCCTAGTCTCCATGAGACTTGAATAAATAACAAAATAAAACGTTTCTTTCTTAAAAATGTGGTAAAAAAAAATATGAGAATTAGTTTAGCGATGATAACCGAATTGAGTGTAACGGCTATTTTTTTCATTGTTTCCGGTCGACGATAATTTCATTAGTGGTGTTATGAAGGTGATATTCACTTATGAGGACCAACTTTGGATTTATTTTCCTCAACTTCAAAATTATCGTTATTTTGAACAGAAGCAAATGGTGATATTTTTTGATTATGTGCATGAGTGTAAGTTACGAACCGTTTTCTTTGGTATGAAAAGGTGTATCTTTGGTGCAATGCATCCAGTCTAAGCAAAATGCAAGAACTAGAGGTTGGAACAGGTCTACCTGTTTTCGAATCTACCATTTATAATAAAGTATATCCTGAATTATGCTTACATAATCCCCTCAGTAAATATGAATACCCTGAAACACCGTTAGCGTAAACATTCTTCTGCTAAAATACTAGACGCTTCTACTGTCTTAAAAAAGACGTGAGGACATTATGGTGGACATTTTTAGACTGACTCTGTTTCTTTTCACAAGTTCACTAACTACTGTGTACGTGATGAATTTTTCGTATTATTGTGATCGAACGAGACGTTTTTACGAAGAAAAGTTTATGCACATGATTAGTTTACACTTAGAACACTACAACCTGATCATTTCACCGAGTTCCTGTTGATACACTTTGAATGTGCATGATATATTCAGTGGTCAGTTGGTGTTACGCATGTATGTTCAGTGAGATAAGGGAAACGAATAGCAAGTAATTCACCTATCATCTAGATGAAAGAAGAAAAATTTTGCAAGTATGTGTAAAAATGCTTGATATAAAAACCTTTTTGTTCTTCTGTATAAATGAAGACAGTAGGAGGCACCTGAAACGGTTTAAACAGAAGTGTACATATATGTTGAACAGAAGATGAAATCTCTTTTAGTCCAGGCAACCTTTTTAATAGCACTTTGATGAATACATCAAAAAACCATTTTATGTATCGTTTTATTCACCTTGCTTTTATACAATAAAGCGTGTACACCGATGATCTACCATTCTTTCACTGTATAATGTAAACCAAGTTTTAAACCTCCTTTTTTACTGGACATTGTGAATGCGTTTAATGAATTTAATTGGTCACCACTTATTAACAACCATAGTAACGAGAAAGTTCTATAATAATTGCCTTAGAATGATTGAAGCGTTTCTTATTTCAAAAATAATCATCATTAATAATGATGCTAACTGATTCGATTTTATGGAGTAACTTTCCAGGAATATTTGCATTTATAGAATTAGTGAAACCACATTATTCATCTGTTGTGAAGATATTTTTGCTTCTACACTAAAAGAATGGGTAATGTGCATATTCCGCTGAATAGTAAAACAAAATAAACTACATTTTGACTATTAATCGACTCAACGAATTCACACAATCACTTGCATTAGAAATAGTCTATATTTGTGTAAGTCACAATTTATTTGAAACAAAATAAGTCCTTTCTGCTTGGAATTTCGGTTGATTTTCTTCCGAAGTGCAAATTATCATCAGCCTGTATTGTTCCCCCACATTTATCAGCTTTGCAATAATTTTCTGTGAAAGAATTTCTGTGATAATGCAGTTTCTAAAAATGACCAGATTGTCTTAAAAAGTTTAATTGGAAACTAGAAAGGCTTTAATCGATAAATGAACTGTAAGAATTCTTCACTTTGTATGCAAATACTTGAAATGAAAAAGGATGGAGACAGATATTTACTTAAAAGATGTGTTCATTTCATTTCCAATATGAAATAGATACTGAGAACCTCGGGCTTGAACATGATACCTTCACAACTAAATGATGATTCGCTTATTTGTACCTTCATTAGTCCATAAGTCAAGAGAATGGTGACGATCTTCGCGAAACAATGTTTAGGAATGTACAAAATAGTTAATCCTTGCAAAATCGAAGATCACCTAATGTCACCACAAGTAGACCTCTTTTTATTACATGTCATCAAGCAGATTTAAACACAGCACAGTGGGATTTTCAGTTAAATCAGCAAGCAGTAGACAGTCGCGTTTTGTAGAGACAGTGGCTATCTACTGTCTTAGGCGACAATCTTTTTAAAAATAGGTCTCGATTTGTGGATTATAATCAGTCTGTTTTTGAGCAGTTGCTTTCGTTCTTCTGTTTATTTTTCTTGAGATTCGTCTGAACTATGCATCAAATAGTCATTATGTTTGTTTTCTAAATTTATTTGATAGTTCACCTATGATGGCTGACATATACCTGTTTTCTCTTTTGCTATAGTGTTTTGAGTGCTGTTCAGTCCTTATCTTATATCAGATCTGCGAAATTTTAGGTATTCCTCGCTCAATCTATCATACTTGTGGTCGCCGTGAACTCTAGTTTTCAATACTGTTTAGTATCTTAGTAATGACCACACTCTTTTGGCAGTAATACTCTGAGTGACTTTTGTGTGTTTATTCATATAGATTCCTAACACATTATTACTGCTCATAACAACAGTTTATCTTGTTCCCTAAGTCTGATTAGTCTACAAATGTTGTCACTATTTACTTGAAACGGAATGCGTCCCTTCTGCTTGGAATTTCGGTTTGATTTTTTTCGGAGAAATAATTGAAAAATATATGAAAGACAAATGAATTCAAAGAGGTTTACTTAATACTCTTTGTGCGGCAATTGTTTTTTCTGAACTATAATGACCGGACATTCAATGTGGTAATCATTGTTTTTAAAGGAATTACCAAACTAAGAGAATTGTTCAAAGTCAATGACTACGCGTCGTTTAATTCATTGATATATATTCAATGTTTTAATTTTCGATTATTTTCCTAAAGCAGCTCCTAAAAGACTTCCGTACGAAACGTTGGAATTAGTTTATTTCAAAAATACTGTGATTAATACAAATATACTATATGTAATGTCAACTATTTACTCAGTGCCAAATGGACGATTTTCTTCAAATTCCACCATGAGTTCACAATCTTAACTCCTCACCTTGTTATTTGGTCCTAACTATTTAAAAGTGAATAATTTTTTTCTATGGGTAAGCAAATGGTGGCTAGGACAGAATTGGCTATGCTGAAAATCGGTTTGTTGTCGTACGTGAATATTGATGAACTGCTAGTCTGATCAGCTAAACATTTTATGCTTTCGATGTAGAAGATAAAGTGTCTCTTTTAGTCCAGACAACCTTTTTAATAGCACACACATCATAAAACCATTTTATGTATAGTTTTGTTAGCGTTGCTTTTGTGTCGCCATCAATTGCAGTACTTTTTCCGCTGCAGATAATGTTTGAACAAACTTTCTATATATCTTTTATTAAGAATTTTTAAAGTCTTTTCTCATTTGAATTTTTGACCACAGCTAATTGCATTCTGCAGAATATATAAGCTTATAATTTTTGATTATTTGAAGCTACTAGATGCAGGTAGGTTAGCTACTTCATACTGGCATTTTCACTTTATCTTATTTTGATACCCGTCTGCATCCCAAACATGGCGCCTTATTTTGAAAATATGTTTATCTTCAGCTTAGTTCGTTTTCGACTTTCCTCCTCTTTTGTAATAGGCCATAAATAATGCAATTTCTAATTTGCAACGTAGTAATTTTGTTCCCTTCTAAAGTTTTCATTCAAAATAACGGAACTATTTCTCAACCTTGTATTATAAAATAAATTCAAAAAGCTGTTGGGCTTAAAAGCCGTTCATGTTATTATTGATTAAATCACAGACATTTGGCAGAAATCCAGCCTGCTCTGCAGTTCTCATGCTGTGTGTCTGCGTAGCTCATGCTTCAGAGTATATCCTTTCAGTTTGCTGCTTTTTGTGAGTACAAGTTTGAATCCAAAGGTTCAATACTAAGGTACAATATCACCAGTAATTCAGTATAACTATCTCTTTTACCTCCGATGGCATTTCGCAAACACTTTGGTGGTAATTTTTCCTACTAAAGCTTTTGGAAGCAACTAGCTGAATTTACGATAATTAATTCTTTTTGGCGTCCACAGAGTGATAAAAAAAATTTAGGACAAATGCATTTAACTTCGTTTTATATTTAATCTAATCAAAAATGCATTTCCATTTAGCATACACTGAATCAAAAATATGAAAAGATCAAAACAAAATAAAAGTAGTTTTCAATTCTGTATATACATGAAGCATTTATTTTAAAACTAACTTAATGAGTTCAGTGTTTCATCATTTATTAAATACATATCTTAATATTCGCTATTTAAAACATCCTCAATTTTGAATCACCTTTTTATCAGCTTTAAACTATTGTTTTAATCGTATCATGTTTCTTATTTCTAACACGATATATATTCTTCTAGAACAAGTGATTCCATCATCTGAAAAGCGTTTAATTAAACAATTAATTGACAATTATGAGAAAGCCGGGAAAATTGGACGTCCTGTTAAAAACACTAAAGATCGTGTGGTTGTCGGCTATGGCTTGTCTCTGTTTCAATTATTGGATTTAGATGAAAAGAATCAAATACTGACAATAAATGTTTGGGCAAAATACGTAAGTTGTATTTTCCAGTTCCCATTTTAACGATTCATGACAGCTGTATAAAACATATATATATATATATATATATATATATATATGAGATAGTTCCAGAGGAAAAATTAGAACGACCTCGTGTCCTTGTTGACACTGGTGAGAAGCATTTCAGCCATTTCTTGAATTTTCGAGATATTTTTCATTGAAATTATTTGTAGCACTAATTATCTGTAAGATAAGCACATCTATTTATCTTAGAACCCTCACCAGAGGGCTTTAAAGTAAAACACTTGTGTTCAATAAACCCTGCTAAGCATATTCCATGAGTCATTTTTACGCAACAGCTATTACAACATGTATGAAACATGATATCACACTTCGGACCTAATGTTGACATTTTAAATTTGGTAACCATTTCTTTTTCATGATCTGGTATGTTCAAACTGACCTCTTGATCTTATTCATTTAAGTTAAGCTCAGAAGCTTTAAACTTCCAAGCGACATTTCTTTACCTACTGAGTTACAAAAGCATCCCCTTACACGGCCAGAAGTAAAATATATCTACCATCTACGAATGTTTACTGCCAAAAAGAACTGACCAACCTTTATTAGTCCATTGGACATTCATACGCCAGATATCAATTTTATGCATTGTGGATTTAAATTGTAAAAGTGTGATCGACCTTTCATTCGTTCTGCTTTAAACACGCTAAACACGTTTGACTGTAAGATGTAAAAGTTATTTGATGAGGTAGAAATGATGAGCTGTCATGAGCATGACAGCGTGACAGTAAAGTGAATGCAGTTATGGCAAGACTAAAACTACTTTAACAGTTGGCGATACGAATAGAAAGATGTGATCTAGCAGTACACTGCACAGAAGTACGCTTTTATGAATAAAACAGCTGACAGAAAGACGCCTGTCAGGTAAAGTGAAATAATGCAACTTTTTAACTAAAATAATGGTTATCAACTTCTTACTTTTCAAAGTGGTGTTCACTGAGGACTGACATCAGTTGGAGAATTATTGAAACATGACAGCACTGGAAAGCTGTTTTGTCCTAGTATGGGACTATTGAGCAGTGATCTTCAGGTCTTGTTGCCATTGAGACACTGGTTCAAAGTGCAATAGTTCACATCTTCATATCTCTGTCAGTTCACGATACAGCGCGACCTTTATCCATTGTCGCTGTCACGTATTTGTTTTCATACCCGAGTTGGTTAACCCCGCCGGTAATGACTTCTCACTAAGCATTTAGGTAAATCTCATCTTGATGAAAGGTATTTATGAGCACTAGGCAGTATTTAAGTCCAGGAGTTTAAGGGGAATTATTAATTTCATGACACACTACTCACCAGGCTTTGAGGTCAATTGGGAAACAGATGAAACTTGGTAGCACTCCCTATTTATTTTGTCCTAGTACTGTGTCAAGTTGATGTGACTGTGAGCTGTAAATTTCTCTCCAGATATCACCAGTAAATAGCAATGTTTTTCAATGTGGTACATAAATGAAAAACGCCGCAATGGAATTATACTCTAACGCAGCATCTTAACTCCATTTCCATATTCAGCTGACCACATATTCCTTTCATTATTTCGTACTCAGTCAATTCTTTGGATATGATAGTTCAATCTTGGTGTACTTAATTCGGGTAATATTTATTCATTGGAAAGAGCCTAAGTAAGAAAGAAAAGCGTGTACTGTTAGCAACCTACGAATGTTTATTTGCGTTGAGTAAAAACAGTTTCAAATTTCCTGTTGTTCCGTAGTTGATGAATCTGATTGAGCTTGCAATCCATGAGAAGCATCTTTCCTGAGTAATTGTGTAAATATCCTTCTACAAAGACTGGTCGCGAGTTAGTCAGTCATCTAACGGCCTAACCCTTTATGCTGGTTGAATACTGTCGATCATCTTTTTTTACATTGGCACTTGATAACGTTACTGAATGCTTTTAGGAAGTCGCGAGAAATCATAGATCAATCTTTATAGCTTGCTGGTTACCATGAACTGGTCGATTTGTACACTTAATCCTACTGAGGACTTAATAGATGGTTGACATGATTTGTACTTTAGGCAATCTGAAAATACTGAAGAAAATCCCTTTCCTCAAAACTGGTTTTCTGAGGCTTATCATCATGCATAGAATTTTAAGTTTCGCGGCTTTCTGTTTGTTGACTTCAACAAAACACCACAACCATATAACTTACTAAATTTGGCATGAAATAACATTGTAACGGTTTCTGCCGGAAAGACTGGAAAAGGCAGACGAATTAACCAATATTGTTGTGTTAAGTAGATAGATTGAATTCTGTCTTGACTGACAATTCAATAAGCAAGCGCAACCGCATAGGCCGATCTCGAAAAAATTTACTCCAGCGTAAATTTTAAAATAAACATTCACTTTCTTCATAACAGAACTAACACTTCAATGATCCCATACTCAAAATTACATTCCTAACACAATGTAAAAGAGGAATCTTTGGGAACTAAATAGATTGTGAATGTAAATAACATTGAAAAAGCTAGTGAACTGATTAATATGATGTTTATTTACACTGCGGTTACTACAGTAACATTACAAACGACAAATTCATTCACATAAAACAGAAATAACAGAAAAATATCCGGTTTATGATGAAAAAAGTAGCACATGATTTATTGTCTCATTTTACGTAGAACCATATGCACTATAAAGTCACTTTTTATTGTATTTGGATTGTTACAATATTTCATCTACTGTAGTGATATTCATTTCTAACGGAAAATAGGTTACAGTTTATATTATTTTTCCGTTTCTAAATGAAGTGAAGCTTGGATTTTTTTTCACTGTTATCGATATATAAAAAGTCTACTAATTAAAGTCAGCTTACACTCTTATAGTTAATAAATACCTTGTAACAGTTCCATAGGAGTAGTAAGAGACAGACGTTGGCCATTCGTACAACAGAGTGCCTTGGACGTTGTTCAAATGTTCCAGTTTCTTTTCTCATAGTTACTGTTTTTGTGATGATGCAACTCCAAATGACATTCGGATTTCTCTTCATCTACAGACGTCACTTATTACCATCAAAATGCATAGTTGCTTCGTAAAAACAGGTCACCGTAGAAAGTTAACATTATTAATAGTCAATGTGCACATTTACAAACCAGTTAAATTATAATGTTAATGAAATTCTAGAAACTATTTTGATGAGGGATTAGTGTTTGTCATTGTTAGGTTTTCAGGATAATTACTTCACCAGCATATTCACGACGTAGTATTAACTTTGCTTCGATTTTCTGTCTTTTCTGTAATCTTCTAGTTTACCTCAATTCACTGTAAATGACTACTCCAGAACTCACTAGTATGATCAAATTCTTTATTACAAGTTTTGGTTGCCTCATGTACTTATAGCAGCAGTTACACCCTTATTCAAATAACAAACGTCATCAAATGCTCCAAAATATGAAATTAAGTCGTTTGAGCAAAATGTCCAACAAAAAATTCGGAAAATTTTCTATCAACAGATTTATATCTTTCATTTTCTCAATAAAACATTCGCTTTAATGTTAAAGATGGGGAAGATTGTTGACTTAGATAAAAATTCCATTACTGTTCAAAGAATAAGATGAACGCATTTCAAGCTAGAGTTAACTTTTACGTCTGAGAAAATATTACATTGTCTTAGCACTTAGACATGTTATAGTAATAGAAGCTAATAAGTAACAATGGTCACTTATAATCGTTCTGCATTACTGAAATAACTCACATTGGAAGTGCAGAATCTGTTTCGAATAATCTCTTTTTGAAACACTGAACAGTTTCTGAATGAAGTGAATATAGATGAACCCACATAAACTGAAACAAACCTGAAAGTTCAGGAAAAACCATAGGGTTATAGTTTCTCAAAACTATCGGTACATTTTTTTGTCTGTTAAATACATTCATCGTAATAGTATGTTCATGAAGTTTACTGCACTGTAAACTGTTTGAATAAATATACTTTTGTAGTGATGTGTAACACCTGTACACATGTATACAATAAAAAACTGTTGATGTAAATTGTAGACATGGATTGATCAATTGTTACGTTGGGATCCAGCGAATTATTCCAACATACGTGAAGTACGCATTCCACCAAGTGTTATATGGACACCGGATATAGTACTTTATAATTAGTAAGTTTACTTTTATGTCTTTTTTCTCAATCATAACTGACTGATGAGTCATTATGAAGGACATGCATTATTGAATTAATTTACATTTCGGATATGAGATGAAGTCAAATGTTTTCCAATCAGACATTTCTCGTAGATAAAACAATGAAAACGACAAAGTCATGTAAGCATGCCTACCCACAGTGTTGATCAGAAATGACTACATTCTACAGGTATTGGGCAACTGATCGATGAATATTCTTTTTTAGTGGAAACAAAAATTAGAAATACCAGCAAGATCACTCTGAATCTCCGAGACAACTTAGATTTCAGGACAGTTAAACAAAAATGTTGACTAAATTGGTTGATAGTAGTCCTTGATTCAACTAAAGATGGGCAAAGATAACCTTATTACTGGTGACATTTCTTTTTTTCTGTATTCGAATTTATCAAAAATTCACTCTGTAGTTTATTGTCACTGACTCGCTTCATGGCTGTTGTCCTTCTCGAGTAAATTAAAACTGTCGTAAAAAAGAGATGACCAATGTTGTGATTTCTTTGATCTAAGCCAATCTGTTCAAAATGATCTTTACTCAGACATGATAACTAAGTTTTAGATCTGCTGTAATGTAAACGTACATGAAAAGTTATTTTCCACGGGAAATGAAAGTCCTTGTTTTACTTAGTTCGTACATACAAGACTTCTTGTGTTTATTTTAGTTGACTTTGTGAAGACAAACCACTTGCAGGAGTCCTTGATGAGTATACTTGATACATATTAGTCGTTAGTTCAGAATAAACTCTAAAACACAGTTATTACCATCCGTATGAGTACGGAAGTTTTCAATCACGATAAATGGAATTTGATTTTAAAGTTCCGCTCAGAAACACAGTACACACTTGTATGAGAAATGACTATTAAAAACAGAGTACCACTTTCGTGCTTTGAAATCTTTTCCCTGGTTAAGGTATCTAAGCTACTGTTTTGAAGACTTTTTCAAGATACTTATCTTTGATGAAACGAGACTGTTTTTGTCAATTACGACGAGCTGATACGGAAAGCTCCCAAACTTTACGACTTAATACAGGGAAGAGTGTATGACAAAAGAGTATACTTTTATTGACTCACAAGTGAAGGTCAAAAAATCTCTCACTATTTAATCCCAATAGCCTACTTTATTCTGTCGATAAGATCTAAAACATGGTCATCCAGCTAGTAGACCCATCATTGTGGTGCACTTTGAATGATACGAGTTGGTTGCAGCCAGTTAGCAGAAAAATTCATGAGTTTCACGACGCTTATCAGCAAGGTGTGAATAAAACCTCAGGAAAGTTGATTATCCTTCATAAATTCGAGACCATATAACCTAGTAACATAGTTTCACAAAGATGATTAGAGTGGGTAAGAGACTATAAGCATAAATTATTCCTTAACTGGAAAATGTTTTACTATACCTAACTCAAGACGAAAGTATACATATTCCTTACACCAGCACATACTTATTTAAAAAGACAATGCTGTCCTGTCAACGGCTGGTAATCCAAATTATGCTAAACTGAAAACATTCTTGTTCACGGATGATTTAGTGAACTGTTACCTATTATTTGTCTTGTTAAACAGAGAATCATTCAGTCAAGCAGTCAAGTGGAATGTAAAGTATGCTTCTTATTATGGTTTACAAAATTCTAAATATGATCTGCAAATAATAACTATCACGGTGAGCGGAACAGTGCATCCACGAATTGGTCACCAACTGGTAACTGGTAAGCTTTCTGGTCCTTAGCACCGATCTAAACCTATAGATAACGTTTGCAATGTGGCCAGTAAGCTGCGTGTCATGACACTGAATTCTGGTATGAAGTCAGTGAAGTCAAACACCTTCCTGTAAAGCTATTCAAACCAGAAACAGTGTTCAAGAAACCTGATTAGGGTAGTTAATACACTAATGAAGTCGACAGAGGTACTAAATGATAAATTGCACGCTATTTCATTTTTACTGAGTTCTATCTTGTTAAATTACTTCAAGTCATAGTTTCTAATTTGATCTGCTTTTTGTTGATATTAAAAAGTATGACGTGAATTTATTAGGCTATGGAAAGGATCAACAAATGTACTACCTAACCCTTAGACACAGTTACAATATGCATGTACTTGCATACAAGATTTATGATATTTTTTAACTTTCAAGAAATGAACAATCCAACTTTTCAGTAGGGTACTTTTTGTTTTTATATCAGGAGCTAATTACTGAAGCACAGACCATATATTTTGGCTATGAAATTTCCGTCACAGCAGGTGATGGTGCCATTGATATAATATGATATAGATATGGTTATGAGCAATAATTTATGCTCGAAACGCCATTAAGTAAATAATGCTGTATAACTGTGTGTTATAAATCAAATAAACAAGTCTAATATGGAATTAAATTCTACCATATTAACCAAATTTTACACCTTTATTGATGGTGCCACTACTGCATGAACAGGTTACCAGGTGGTAAATTTGCATTGACTAGGGCGTATTGATGGAACCACAAGTAGAACGATGCCATCTAGAGACCAGTGCACGTGCATAATCCGCTTTTACAGACCAATCGTGACCTGAATAGCTTGATAGTGATATAAATTAATAGCACTTTAAATCTCAAAATGGAACACTAGCAACTTCATTCTTGTGGATACATCTGAATGATGAGTCTCCACAGTCATCACATTTAATCTGGTGACTTCTGTCAACTGATTCTCAACATCAGACACAGACCTTCACACAGCCAGTAAAAAGGAATACCGTTAAATTTGCATTTGTTGTGAACTGAGCATCTTTCCTTGGAAACTAATATATTTTTGTCATAGTATGCAGTAACCATCAGTGTATCTGAACTTGACAGATAACAAGCCTTAAGCCTCTATTGAAGTATAGCTATTAATCAATTCATCTGAACGTGGATCACACTGAAAAAACTGTATATTCTACTATAGATATTAGGAAAATTCTGCTGGTGTGTGAATTCGACTCATTGCTCCACTAGTTTTGTTATCTTAGCTGAATGACAAGCCATCACATCTGCAGGTACTTAGAATCAATGGGTTTCATGGTAGTATTCACCAATAACTGACATCAATTGGAGAATGGCCGAAAACATGGAAACACTGAACAGATGTATGTCTTAGTACAAGACTCCACGGTAGTGTACACCCATGAACCCACCAGAGGTTGAACCCACAACTTCCATGTTACGCGGAGAGCGCATTACCATTAAGCCAACAGAAAGATATCTAATGATCCATATTCTCACATTTTCGTCAGTTCACGGTGTAGTGTGAACTTCAACCATCATCACTGCTGAGTATTTATCCTCACGTCCAACTTAGTTTGTCCCACAGTTGACTACATCTCACTAGAACTCCGGGAAATCTCATCTCTTAGCAAGTCATGAGTGTTGAATGAACAGTTACGCAACTTAGAAACGACATAGATTAATGACTTATTAGGCATAAGCTAAATTGACATGGAATACATAACCTACAGCCACTGCAAACAGAATGAATAACAACGAAAACTGGAATTGTGATTCGGTTTGTTTGATTAGGCATAAAGTTTAAGTTCATAAGTTCTCCAGGCCATCATCACTTGTTAATTGACTAAAAGAAGTTTTCATATATTTTTCACAGTCAGTCAGTTGTTAAGGTGACAGACAAAAGAATAATTAGTTTGTAAGATATGGAAAAAGAGTGATAATCAATGTACAAAGTAAAATCAAATTAAAAAACACCAGGCATTCTATTGAAAGCTTTACTTCGAGACAGAGAAATTAACGAGAACGAAACTTTGAGTACATGTTGTAAGTGATATCAGACAATGGATATTTTCAAAAATTAACCAGAAAACACTTACTAACAAATCTGAAGTCATCTCAATTCGTAAAGAACTCTTCCTTCAATAAGTTTCTTCAAAAGATGCTTTTTGCTGAAGTAGTCTTGCAGTGAGTTTTAGAGACTTTATTTTAACTTTTTCGTGCTCATCAACTTGTATCCATGCTGTTATTGTCACTGGAGTCAAAACGCGATACAAATCGCTCTGAAGTTTAGAAGGAAATTTACGTCGATTTTTAACATGTTTTCCTTTACATACGATTGTACATCATATTTTGTCAGCATGAAGTGTAGTAGACAAATGGATGCCAGTAAAAATTGTCAAATTAAACCTACTGCAGGTTGGCAGAATGAACATTCGCAAATTAACCATCTGAATGCAAATGTACGGGTGAATTTATTTCAGTCCTTTTCATAATGAATTCAAAAAGCCATCTGAAGGTTATTGTAAACGGTTTCCCTCAAAGGTGATATAAATCGTTAATCGCTACTTGAATTCATTCCATCTCCACCAAACTAAAGTGGGATTGACTTTTCCGGCTATCTCATTATAATTAGTTTCATTAACGGTATGAACAAAAAGATGGTTCCAATCAGCGATCCATTTTTATTAAAAAAGGATGTAATGTACTGATTGCGTATGACAATACTATCATAACCCAAACCTATTAATGCACACATCTAGTTTACTTTAAGCAGGAATTCAGTGGGCAATGATAACGATAGCTATAATTAATATCGTACTTTACATCCCTTGAAAAAGACTTTGTCTCACCGTACTTACTTCTGATGCTAGATCAACTTACTGTGTTAACCAGCCAGTCCCATTTTCCGCACAGATTAGCTGACTTTTTTACTTTAACAATTATGTGTGTACCTGTGATTAGTAGCACAAAAATTTTTAAAAAATGATTCAACTACAGCCATTGTTTTTTTGTTAATCTCTTACTTCGATACTTCTAGTGCCGATGAACGCCTAAAAGAGAAACGTGATGTCATGTTGAATGTTGACTACATGGGACGCGTATTTTGGAGTCCACCAGCTATATTCAAATCAAACTGCCCAATCGATATCAAAAACTTTCCATTCGATTATCAACACTGTTTTCTAAAATTTGCTTCATGGACTTATAATAGCGAACAATTAGACTTACAGTTTTTGGATAATCGCACTGAAGTTGACATTGATCAGTATACTTCAAGTAATGAATGGTCACTTGTTGCTAGACCAGCCTATCGGTTTATAATGCTGTCAGAAGAGTGTGGTAAAGAAATACCCGACTTAACTTTTTTCTTATTGTAAGTCACAGTTTTCTAGTGTTTGTTGGGAATATGTTAACATTCAGTCGATAGCTAATCCATTATCTTTTCTTCACGGTGTGTTATGGTGATTCTGTTTGGCGTTGATATATTTCGTGAGTTCCTCAGCTATGTCAAAAGTTTCATCCTCTGCTTTTTGACACCATGGGTAACGCATATCTTTAGCCATGGGAAGACTGATGTTTCACCATGACTTCAGCCAAAATCACTAAATATCGAAGTCTTAGAACTTACCACTAAGATAACCAGGTTATGCCGCAAATCTCTGTGGAATCAGATGCGTTTACACGAAGCCATAGTCTATATGTTTTTAGCGCTGTTAAACGTTCATACATCAAATTTGTAGCATTAGGCTCATTATCGAAGTTGATATTGCTGTTCATTGGGCTTGTTGTTAGGAGCCAGTTGAGAGGCATTTTTTTTTCAAGGTATACATCCGTTCATGAGTAAAAGAAAGCAATATTTGTGGTACCCCGGTAGTGTTCGTCTCTTCTTTTAGTGACCTGTATCAATTGACTGGGACAAGTCATGAGAAAAATAAGTACTTAAGCATAGATAGTTGGACAAAAATCTTTTTTATGGCTGTCGTTTCAAAGACAGATTCTTCATTAGGGTAATATGTCATGGGTGTAGTGGGCGTTGCTGATAGCAACGGATATAAGTAGTAAATATCGAGAGGGTGGCAGGAATCATAGGAAATTACCGGTAATGGGTAAGGTTTCTGCCAAGAGCCAAGGGGACAACACAGGCGTATTACAGGGGATGCTGCTGATAAGAGTGTATGAAAAGCCGGTCAAGAGCAAATCAAGACAGGAACGGAGAGGAAACGAAGACATTTGCAAATGGCTGTGTTAGTGCAAGGAGTAACATATGTAGCCACTACCATTCCAATTAGTCGTAATAGACATTGTCATCGAGTTGTATTCTGTTTTCTTTCTTCAATGGGGGCTGAATAGTCAATAAAGGTCCCTGAATATGAATCGAACCTCGTTTACTAGTCTAGAAAGTCCTCCATTGGCCAGTTTACTTGGACAATGTTGATGAAAACAGTTGTTTGTTCACATTAAGTAATCCTACTGTTCAGCACTGTGTTGGAGAGAGTTTCAGATACTGCTAATATATATTGAATGAGGAACGTTCATTAAAAAGAAAGTAGCTTAAATGATTTAGACGGATTTTACAAATCGACTTCGAAGTAAACTAGTTGAATAGCTGTAGTTTTCGTCATTGTTTAGTTTACTACTGACTGGATCACCCATCTAAAATAGTCAGACCTCCCAGCATTCTGATAAACTGAAACCTGTTTTTGAAAATATATTTAAGTTTACAACTTGTTAATGGTTCAAATATATAACCGATTTTTAAGAATAAAGCAAAACACTTATCTAGACTACGAAACAAATCGTTTTTAAAAAATGAAAAGTAGAATAAACAACAGTATTATAAATATAAAAGATTAGTTTAAATATTCTCTTCCAACACATTATCACCATTCATTTTTTGTTTGCCTCAGTTTTTTACTGCACAAACAAAATAGGAAAAGATTAAAGGTGAATAGCTAGACAGAATTTTGTTTTGTATTTCCCTACTGGTTGTTCAAAAACTCGGGGAATTCGGTATAAATCTTCTTCACTGATTTCAAAAGTGGATTAAATGAAGATAATTATATAAAATTTAAATAAACATCACTCAACATATATGTAAATTGCAGAATTCCCACCCATAATGTGTAGCGTGTAAATGTGTATTCAAAAACACACTTCTATTCGCTTACACATTTGTATGATATGAATACAAAAAGCGTTTAATGTTCAATTTCTTATTTTATCAAGTCCATTTGCGATCAAAGAAATTTCATCTAGTTACTCAAACTCAGTAACTTTTGTTAGTTCTCTTTAAGTCCTTCTCTTTGTTGCATTCTATCCTTGCAGTTATAAGATATCTGAGACAAATTTATCTCATTGGTAGTGTTAAAGGCAGTAAAAATATTTCTTTTATTTAGTTAAATATTCCTGAAAATACAAACAGTATTTGTCTACAAATCCTACAAAGCAGCTGACTTATCATTATCTTATCATTATCACTGACTTTCAGGGTAGAGAAATAAATGATCAAGGAAATAAACTTCGCACTTTTTAAAATTGCATGAATTTACTGCTTTTAAAAATATTCCAATTTTAATGAACTAAGTCAATGCATTCCGTTGAATTCTCAGAAAATGGAAACCGATAAACAGAGAAGTTACTCACCTTATTATTAGAAAAAGCAAATTTGGATTTTATGTAGCCATCAATTATGGTAACTGAGTGAATTTGAGAATGCTTTGACAGACAGTGAACACACACAGAAAAATGCTAGAGTAAACCATCAATCTCTTATTTGTGTGGTCAATTGTCCACAAAGTTCGATCTTTATTTTGGATGACTTGGAGCAAGACAGATATGAGTTCGCTATTGAGTTAAATTTCTCCAGCCATGTCACTGCATAACTAAGAGGTAAACAGTGTATCTTCAAGAAACCAGTCTATTCAGTCTTCTGAACAACTGAACCAAGGGAAATACGAAACTTTTTCTCATAAATAAACTCATTCAAGTAGTTAATTTAACACAAACAATAAGTGAATTTCGTTGACTTTTCGGTTAACTGCAAATAAACATAGATTAGTAATCTTATAATTTTAGAGTATAGTTTCAGTTAGTTCATTTTAATGACTGTTTTTGACAAACCGAAAGAAATAAGCCTAGGAAAGGTGTTATTTGTTGAAGTCAAGTTTAAATGTGATAAAATCAGATCAGCATTAAAGAGTTAAAAGAAAAAATTTGCTGAAGACGTAATACTTCATCCTACTCCGAATAGTCTGCCCATTTGTTTAATTTTAAGAAAGCTGACAAATGTATCTTTTGAGCTACATACACACACAAATTTAATGTAGATATGGAAAGATTTCAATTGCCTGGACAAATGTTTTCATGGCTCAGTCAGATAGTTTCAATAGTTATGACCTCTCTTTTGTCAACTTTAGTCTTCGTCAAATTGCTTCCTTCAGTTGATAAAAGTCTTGATTCTTTAAAGATGGATTCAACTGATTAAAATACGCCTGTTTGATTGCTTACTTGACCCATATCTTACCCTAAATTACACAATACCAGTGTTACCATCCTAAACAATTATAATGTTCATGGATTTCAAGTTGATGTCCATCAGGGACTGACATCAGCTGCAGAACAACTGAAAACATGGAAACACTGGACAGACGTTTTATCATAGTACAGCAATGCTCAATAGTGCACACGCATGACCCCACTAGAAGTCAAACACAGGATCTTCACGTTTTTCGGCTAGCGCGTTATTGTTGAGCCACCTGATCGGAATCCAATGACTTACATTTTCCTACTTCTCCCAGTTCGCGATATAGTTCAACTGCCACTCAATGTCGTCATTGAGTAAGTGTTTCCACATACGACTTGGTTTAACTTTCTGAGTGTCATCTTGAAGCAAGTCACCAATGAGCACCAGGCAGGCCAAGTAGTACATGAAGACACCTACTCAACAATGGGAGTGGATGGAGGTCGCGCTAAGCCGCAAACCTGCAGAATCAAGAAAACTGGAACATTGGATTTTGACGCAGCGGTTCAACGGCTGTGCGCTGGCCAGGGAATTTGAAAGTACTGGGTTTGACTTTTGGCAGGGTCATGGTTGCATACTATTGAGGAGTTCTATAAGCTTTGCTCCGTATTAAAAATTAATGGAATAATTGTGGAAAACTAATACTGGGAAAAATGAAATTTCTGACTGGAAAATGGATCGAGTTTTTTTAACCATCGTCCCCTAGCGATATATATATATCGTTTAAATAAAACGCTGATTAAAAGACTTGCATAGGTTGAATGTATCCATAACTGTGTATATTGAAGTAAAAAAAACCTAATTTATCAGCCTATTTTATCCATATGAATAGAAATTCATTTCTGATCAGTAATATTATACGAATATAAAGTAAATGCATGTCTCTTCGTATCTCTCTAGCTTGAAACGTAATCCTGCCTTCTATGGATACTTGTTGGTATTTCCATGTGTACTGTTGAGTGTGATCACCACAGTGATATTCTGGTTACCACCACAAATACCAGCTAAAATGGTTCTTAGTAAGTCATTGTAGCCATGTTTCGTTATTTCTGATAGTTTGTCAATTATATGTTTAACGTTTAAACAATAGTTTACTTCATGATTTCGCTTCATATCAGGCCTTGTGCCTTCATTAATCCCAATTCGTCCATAGGGAAAACAGGCACCAATTCTAAAGGTCTGCTTGTAATTGCGATACGAAGTTCTCATTCTCTGGCAACAGTCATGATTTCATTCTGTTACAACATTTCAGTTAAATGATTTAAAGTGAATTAATTAATTTCAAGACAACATTACGATTAAAGTCAGTTGTAGAACCACTGAATGCTGGTAAGCGCTCGACAAATTTCTACTCTACATTGAGATTCTTAGGCAGTCTGCACTTATAACCATGTGTCAATCTTAGTTTGTTTCAATGAGAAGCCATAGCTTTCATTTGCATATATTTTATCAATTCTGTTTAAATGTATGAAAAACACGTAGGGATGATAGATAAGTACATTGTCAATTGTTTTTTAATTGTTTCAACTTTACGTTTGAACTTTGTGCACGACAGTTGACACAAAATCTTACCTTTTGGCTCCAAATTTGATACTGTTCATGATCTACATTTTGAAGTGAACTCATTTCTAGAGAAATGCCAGTAGCTCGGAGGATAACGGTAATTTGAATACCTCCATCACCCATTTAATAGTATAAAAAGTACGAAATAATATCTACAACATTTATTTTGATACACATTTACTACCACGTTTTCCTCTAGGATGCAAAATGACCAACTAACTTTTGACGATGATGTTGTACCACTAAGATCCAGTATCGTCGACAGGTATCACTGCTCACCATTCATTTGTATGATTCAACAGTCCATTGTCTACATATATCTATGGGTTCATTTGCAGTGAATTTCTGCTGGATTCCATACCTTCCATTGCTTTAGTTATCAAACAGGAGTTACATTAATTCTTTGTAAACTTAAGGTGATAAAACACTTAACACATCTCAGTGGGCAAGATAAACCAATATATGGTAACCTATGATTTAAAAGGTACTGAAATGACAGTATCTGTTAGGAAATCTATGAATTTTAGTGTTCTTGAACTATAATTCGAAGGATCGTCACTCTAAGAAGTTGGAAGCATTCATCATTTGAGTAATAAAAAACTTACCAAACTTCTGTTGATCTTATGAATATGTTTATCTTCTGGCAAGCACTACATTTTAAAAAGCATAGATAGGTAAATGTCGTTGTCACATATAGATTGCCAGTTTGACCAAAGGACAACCAGGCTTAAGTTCCATGTAGTTCCAACTACTTTTAAACTGTGATTATAAAATATGCAATTTGTTGCGACTTAAGTGATCAACTGACCAACCATATGCACGTTTATGTAGTGGGCAGTAAGCCACTCTCGCTTTGCGGTGGCTAATTTTAATACCTGACTGCTTAACGCTGAGGAGGTAAAACAGGATTTGAACCCGTGACCCACTGGTTAGAATGTCAAGTGCCTAAACAAATGAGTCACAGCTGTACAACAAATATTTCACAAACATAAATCTACATCTAGCTACTTATCACCACAAGTGCAGACTTTAAATTATCATAGTCTACTAAATTAAATTTATTCAAAGACCAACCCCTTTATAAGAGCCAGACTCATCAAACCATTTGTGGTTATCGTTGCTCATCAAACAATCATAAATTGCCTTGGCCATTGCGTCACGAAACGGATATCCAATAAACTACAGACATTCATCAACAACTGCTTACGCTGGCTCGCTACTGAAGATCAGATGGTCAGAAAGAATAAGCGACAAGGAGCTCTGGGAACGAACCAACCAACAACCTATCGCTCAACAAATATGTAGAAGGAAGTGGAGATGGATTGGGCATACACTGAGAGGGCCGACTGGGGACATCACTCATCAGGCCCTCGAGTGGAATTCCCATGGGGAGCGACGAGTTGGGCGTCCGAGGTGAGGGTGACATGGAGGAGATGTTGCGAGGAGGAAATGAGGGCTTCTGGGCTGTCGTGGAGCCAGGTTCACAAGATTTCAGATAACAGAGTTCACTGAAGACGTGCTATTGAAGCCTTATGTTCCATTAGGAACCCAAAGGACTAATAATAATAATAATATTAAGAATGCAGGAAGTAGCTTCAAATTTCAGAATTAGTACCAACACCTGTGGAGATTGATTCATATTCATTTGAATGTGAGAAAATGAGCATCCTGAAATCAACTGCTATGCCTTTCGAAATTAAAACACGATATGGCCGTAATTAACATACAGAAAACAGTACATAAAGAGAGAATATACTAAGGGCGAAGGTTAATTTATTTTCGTAAATAAATAAATCAGGAAAAGTCAAATCAAAAGCCCCCACAGTAAATTCATTTAAAATCCCGCTCTCTTATTTGAATAATTTTTAACCTTGACGAAACTTTTCTTTATAACTGAAGGCATGAATATATTTGTGGCATTCTCTCTGCTTTTGAAAATACTTGCTGTTTCCACACCGTCGGCTTCAACAATAGTACCGTATTTAGGTAAGTTTACTTTCAATCTTAACTTTTCATTTGTTACTATTTATTCATCCATTCAAGCAACAGAAGAGGTTGGTCAAAGAACGGTCCTGATGAATTATAGTCAGTTTTTCACACAAATACTGTATCGCGAGAGAACAGTCATCTCCTTCTTGAAGATTTAGACTGACAGACTCTGTTTTTCAACATGGACAAAATATATTTCATTAGTTCAGTGATCATAGATAACTTGTTGAAAATCTCATTATCTGCTCCTACCATACAGCCCTAATGACTGTTTTCAGTATCATTTCCACAAATGATTTTTCGACTCCGTGACAAACAGATATAGGAATTTTTAGGAATGTGTTTGAGATTACTTCACACCATGAGTCTGAAAATCAACTGTGATAGTAAATTTCTGGAAAACTGTTTTTATTCTTATTTCAGACAGCGCAATGGGAAAATGAGTGTTATTTAGAAAATATGATATTTTAGCTCTGTACATTCGGCTTCATTTGACCTACTGCAACAGTATTAAGTCGTTATGCATTGTGAGATAAAGTCTGTCACTTTTGGTTCAAACCATGAAGCCTTGTACGGAGAAATGAAGTACTCAGAAGAAGCTTTTCAACACTGTTCGATCTTTGATTTCACTTTGAATAGTGTTGGCCCTTGGACAACTGCTTGCAAACCATCTTACTCAGATTACATCAGTGATAAATATCCAACAAAATATATAACTGAATCTCTATAAAAATTATAAAAGCTTTCTCTAGGTTTATTTATAAGTTGCTTAGTTGATTCTTTTTATGACAATAAATAAAGGAGTAAGCGGTATTTCAGCTGTTCACTCAATTAATTACTTTTTCATAAGTCTAAAAACAGTCCAAATATTACTTTTGCATGTATCGGGATCAGATAGATTACTTTGAAGAAGCCTGAGGATATATACGAAGACGGAAATATTGCGAAACTGCAATAAAATTACAATAAATATGTTATATAAGTCATTTAATAGACTAAAATTAGCACTGAGGTGTAATGTCTTTACGTAATACAGTCACCGTCACAGAAAGACGGAAATTAAGGCCTAATTTATTGATGAAGAAAACACCTTTGAAATTGTAGTTGGATTATATTAGGTACTAAAGATCATGTTTCTTTAGTCTTTTATTCATCTGCACCTTGCCTTAAAGTTGAAAGCAACTCTACTGTTCAACTTATTTGTGTTTGTTTTGTTTAACATAGATATCTGTAACAATAACATGACTGGTCGTTTTGTTCAAAATGTGACGTGCGTACATGTATCGTGCTTCGGATAAGTAACCCAGTGCCTATTAGTGCATTAGAATTAATAAATAAATTAGTATGTTTCAGGTAACCTGAGAATTTCTATCAAAATTTTCTGTAAGTCCCTTTGAGATCTATCAACTGTTAGAATACACAATTTATGTCATCAAACTGTTGAACAACTGACCAAAACGCTTCTTAGCTAGCTTTAAAGTTCTAAGCTGCAGATATCGTCAATCAAGAAGCAACACGGAAATATGTAGGGAGCAACCAAACAGAAAATGATGATTGATATAAAGACTCTTAGTCATTATTAATCTGAAGACAAACATCAATTTCTTTCATTCCTGGAGTCGTGCAAAACGACCTAATTCAATGAAAAACGATGAATCTAAACGAACAATGTTTTCTCTAAGATAAACTGGTTATAATTTTTTTATGATGAGCAGTTCTTTTGGTTTGCATACTCCGTTTGAAACGTAGTAGAAGTATGTGATTAGCTTACGATTTGTATGCTTGTCAAAAGCTACAAGAAAATTATCTTTCATGTGCAAGTTACCTTTAATAAATCGCAAAATACTTTTTGATGGGACTATCAGAAATGCATGTTTTCATTTGTTTTGCTAGAATGTTTAAGGACTAAAGTAATAAACTTGTTCCAACTGATGACAGAATTTCGAAAGACAACACTGTTACGCATAGTTACTTTGGAAAAAAACATTTTACGACTTCCTTTACCACATGTTAATTGCTTCCATGATAAATCAACGAGAATAAACGTAACGAGATGAGGAACATAACTATAATAAATTTTACTTATAAACTTGATAAAATTCAGATTGAATAACTAAATTCCGCTTTTAAAGTACATTATTATCTCAGGCTGAATAATTTGTCAGGATGAATAAAAGCAACACCGAAAGAATTCTTATGCACAAATGACTGAATGCATCGATGCAGATCATAGCACAACAGTCCGTCAATTAACATTTACTCACTGCTTAAAAGTACAACAAAATTATTCAATCATATAATAAATGCGCATAATCTGGAATGAAAAATTTAGTGAATTTTAGTCTATTTTAACAAATTATATTCGGTTCATAGAACACTTTTAAAAAATCTCCTGGAATATAGGTTCCAAAAGCCTACACTTTTAGAATAAAGAACCTTGTTGCACATTTTTCAAGAATATGCGATGAATATATTTTTAGGAATCTGTTTGCAAAATGACTTGGACTTAACTGCTAAGTCATAGGTTCGAAATCCTTCCGACGTTTGTTCAGCACTAGTAACCATATGTGAATATTATGTACAGTCGATATGTTGGCACATGGCTAAGCACCTGACTGTTGAATTGTAACAATAGTCACGTTATAAGATTACCCATCATTTGTTACTAGTATTTGAATGTTACAAAAAGCTGTTAATGGTGCACTTTATATCCAAACGTGACTACCACATTTAGTTCATTATTTCTGTGATGCTAGAACCAGTGTAAATAGATATTTTTTCGTAGTTCGGTTTATGCTAAATCCAAGATTCATTCACAGGTAGAAAAATTATGCAGCTGTACAGTATTCTCTAAACTAGAAACGCATATCTCCAGCAGGAAATGGATTCATCGTACAAAACAAACTGTTCTATACCAAACTTCATCAGTGAACCTAGGAGCTGCTAGTCCAGACAGTTTGGTTAAATGAAGGACACAGTCATTAACTTCAGGCATATACTGGTCAAATCATTTAATTTATAATGACGTTTTACACTGAATGTCTAATAACCCAAAACTGTTTATCTAGACTATGGCATACACTGGGTGAAATGTCAACGTTTTTCATTGGTTATGTTAAAAACATTCTTTTACTCATTTAGATGTTAGGGAGTATATACAAGTGCATTATCTAAATATGTATAGTATCACACAGCAGTTTGATAGTGCATCTATGTAACTTCCAGCTTCATGAATAATTGATCAACTTCAAGATTAGGCTAGAAAACGTTTGTGGTTTCTAGTAAACTTGAATACTCTTCTTATGTAGACAAAATTCAGACAGAAATTTTCACTTATCTTTAAAACCAAACAGATGTAATGATTAGACTGTTTGTCTGGATTGATGGACAGTGCTATAACCAAGTTTTAGTCAGGAAAGTTAGAACTCAAAGGAAAAAAAGGATTCAAACAGACATCTCATTGCTTTGTGGTCTGTTTTTCTGCAAGATTGGATAAACTTAAACTATTCACTACATTTCCATTCCCTTTAGGAATATTAAATGTACTTTTTAATTCCGGAACTGCATGTAAAACACGAGAGTTGAAAATGCGACATTTATCGAAAAAACAGTACTCTATCAACAAGTAAAAAGGACGATGAATAAGTATGCAAACTTACAGTGTGAATCATACAATCAGAAATAGTGTTGAAGTCAAATTATAGTTAAAGTTTAGAAATGTGAGAATGCATGACATAAAATGAAGTGTGAGACAAACAAGGACTGAAGTACCAGTATGACAACTGCAAAACAGAATGGAAAGATGAAAATCCAACAAAGGAATAACATGAAAAGCTAATGTATCAAAATTTTAACATGCTAAGTAAAGTGAACTTTAGTGATATTTAATACTTAACAATTTGTTTACAGAAACAAAAGACGATGAATGTGATCAAGTGGCGCGAAACTCAAGTCACGGAAGCAGTGCAAGTACAGACCAATAGTCAAAAGATGCAAGCAACTGAAGTATAAAAAGGATTCAGCATTGTTGTTGATTGGATACCTCCTGTCTCCTCGGATTCCTTTTCACTGAGCAGCTTGCAGAGGCATATGATGTACACCAAACGAGTATAGAGTTGATAAACGATTACAACTCAGTCCATCATGATTATTAACACCAGCGTTTTCAGTACAATATTAATAGCCTTAAAACTTCTTGATTGTGGAATTTTACTTACGGCTGACATATACAGGCACTCTTCACGGTTGTAGGTCGTTGCTGTAACGCTTGAAATTTTGTCCATGAAAAGCTAAAAGTATATAAAATGAGAGAGGATTCTGGACCGAGGAACAAAAAAAGTGGAAAACGCAGTTTATAATGTCTCAGACTCTGTAATCACAGAAACCGTTTCAGATGTGCTTTCATTTTCTGAGCCTTACGGTCATCGTCATCATCAATATTAACATAGGACCAGGCATGGAAATGGCCAAAGTTACCACACCTAAGATCAGCACGTCGTTACATAGTAATAGAGTGAAGGATGAAGAAAGAACGAAAAATCGGCTATAAGCAGTAGAAAACAGTAAGAGAGGAAGGAAGGACGAGAGAACGCTGAATTCAGTATAGCAGTTAAGATGAGGACAAAGTGCGAATACATTTGCACCACTGACATAGATTCTAATCCATATTACCTAGAGTCTCTAACCAATGGTTTTTGTAGTCAGGCGGTCTCCAACCGGGAAGTTAGCACTTCCCTACACAGCTCAGATCAATATTCAAAGATGTTAAGGACTGATGGTATGTTTTAATGTAGCCAGGTCTAATCTTTTTCAGCCTAAACCTACTTTAGCTATCATTCACGAGGTAGACGGTTACTGGGCATGAGTAGAATATACCCTAGCCATCTCAGTCGATGAAGATCAGTAACATCACCAAATTACTTTCATCTCCTCCCTAAAACTCCATACTTAACTTTACATTACGAACACAGTGGCGAACTTCAGCCATTTTAAGTGTTTTCGAACTTCGGATTAAACATATTCCGACTAAAAATTAAAACATTTTAAATAAATTAATTTATAGAAAGCAGTTGATTTAAAAATAGTAATATCAAATGTTTCATTCGAAAACTGTACATTAATTCAACTTGTTTATGATTCTACTTAGAAATACGTACAATCAGATTTAATTTCCTATCTGCAGACAGTTCGATCGTCCATAAATTAAGGGTAACGGTAACCACCTCTAAAGAAATAGTTGAACATTCTAGAAACATGTAACTCGCTTCTGTGTTAAACAATGTAAACCAAGATATAACGCATGAAAGGATTAAAAATACAAGTTTTGGACTTTACAATTTATGACATAATTTCCACTTTCTGGACCAGTGATCACTTAACCAATTTAGGAGCGTAATCAAGCAGTTAAATATCTGTAGAACAGGCAGAAATCCGCTGTTTGTTTTTCATATGCGGTATACTTGCTTATAAATCAAACCACCTTAAGAATTTCCTAAATACCTGAAACTTACGAGCAAACAATTTTTTCCAATAGTGTTTAGGAACCCCAAGTTACTGACACTAACTTCCAAATAAAGCGAATGTCATGATCATAAGCATTTAGCCAGTCAGCATAATATTGCCTGCTTTCCTATTTAGAAGGTGCACAAAATGAAGTAAATCTGATCACAAGTTACTTTGCACATCCTAGAATAGTCGAAGAAAATGAATTAAAAATTCTTAACCGACCACTTTGCCTAAGCAAATATTAGACTATGTAAGAGTAAAACTTCAACGTGGTGGTAAAGAATAATTTCATATTAAATAGTTTATTTAATGTAGCACGCAATGATACGGTAATATTTACTGAACGTCATTTTGATCAGAACTCACTACTCATACTCACAGTATATAACATTACTCTGCATTAAATTGCGGAATAGTCTTTACGTCTTCTAATGCAAAGTGAATTTTTAGTTTAAGTTCTTATGAATTACGTGAATAAGTGTTTTTGCCAAGGTGTACTCAAGTTGCATACAGTTGGTTTGTCACAGTTAAAACTGCATTAATTTCTTCTTTTCATTGTCTTGCTAACTTTGTACAATTTACTTCACTGATTGAGATGAATAATTAAAAACCAAACTGACCATTCAACAGTGTTGCCATCTAGATATGTTGGAGTGATTTGAAGACGTAACGGCCAGATAACTTGTCCGTAGCTGAATTCATCAACAATTTACTGAGGTGTATATCTTGTAATTTCTCTGCTTTCTTTCTGCATGGCATTCTTGGTATCCAGAATATTCCAAGTAATGGTCTAGAGGTTTTGTTATCCAATGAAAATTATGGTGTAGTCTTGCAGTTGGCTTAAATCTACTTGTATCCCTTTCACCATAAAATAAGTACTTTTTAAACACCTGCTTTGAACCTATATACAAGTTCTTGCTTAAGAAAACTATCAGTGCCATAAGACTGAATGCTTTGCTTTATATGACTCGACTTATTGCACAACTTTTGAGTTTATATTAGCGATTACATTCATTTATTTATCTGGCTATAAATATCCAGTTAATTCAGATTTCTGCGGAACAGCCCATGTAAAAGTGGATGTATTTGCTTGACGAACTTTTATCGGGAGGAAATCCAACTTCTGCATTATGTCGGTATTGACAACCATCAAAATATTTGAGATAGATATCAGTGGGTCAAAGCCAATCGATAAGAAGCCCTGGACCAGGGTTTCGTGCTTTTTTGAACATTATGATGTTTTTTTAAATTTATGTTAAAATGGACCAGTGCAAGTCAAAATTAGAACTCAAACCTTTTCTGTTTATTAGTGTGTCTAACCTCTGAAGAGCAAACTCCTCACTTTCTAATGAGATATTCTAGAAAAATCTTACATGTAAAAAAGTTTGGAATACAACTGAGGTGTCACCTGTGCATCTTTGAGTTGGAAAACAAGCCACATTTATTGTTTGAGAGCTAGTGATAATGTTTGGTTCTCTAGACCTCGGTAGTTGTAATCTGTTTCGAACCCGTGACTAGTAAGCTACAGCTCCATAGAAACTATGGGAAGTTTGCTACTGCCCAAATTCTATTGATGTACGTTCTCATGATATCTCAAAGAGAATTTTTAACGGGTAAGCTTATGAACTTTTTGAGCGCATAATAACAATTGGCCTAAAAAGTGGACTGAATCTAAAACTGAACACACGGGCATGACTACAAATCTGTGACCTTTATCATTTTCTAAAAAGGATTTTAAATGCCATTCTAATGCACTAAAATACACAGAATAATCACACTACTCTCCAATTTTGTACTGGTAAACCCACTGAAGACAATTTGCTCGATACTTTTATCTTTAACTAAAAATAAACTTTTTACAAACTGTATAACACATGACATTATTATTAAGTGGTTGGAAACAGTCAACAGTAAGCCCTGGACCGGGGTTTTATGGCTGTTGACACCTGTCAGCATGGTGTATCTACAAATTCAAGCTGTTCTATTAAGAAATCTCCTGCTGAAAAGAACTCAGTAAATTTAATCTACTATTTCATTGCCATGATCTCAATACAGGCTAGCGAAGTATGTTAGTGAACGAGAAATATGACTGTCAACCCGAAAAACTAGTGACCTACGGACTTAACACACCAGACTAATTAGAGAAAAAAACTGTGCAATCAGTCACTCACTTTTGGCCCTGTATAGTTGACTCATCAGTTGGAACTATCATATCATATCGCTTATCAGGTCCGTTGTAAGCGTATCAAACAGAACAGGTCCCCCAGATCTCAAAGACTTGTTCATAGATATAAGCACTGTCGAAATATTCACATATTTTCAGTAGTATAATCCGCATGATAAAAAATACTGCTTACTGAGACACAAACTTTAAATGACTAAGCACGTGTTCCATAATAGGAAAAACAGTAGGCAATTTTCAGTTTAATTTGATCAGCAAATTAAGTCTTGAGAATTATGAAAAATGGAACAATCCTATTTTGTGATATAAGTGATTCTATGGCAAAGAGGAGGAAGGGAGAGGAATTTATTCTGCGATAGTGAAGTTGATCAATGGCCAACACTTGAACGACAAATAGCGGGATTTACTGCGATTGGTAAACAATTCCTTAAAGCTGTTCAACTAAAATTATGAGAGTTTATTAATCTTGAAATAACTGATGCTTATTTTTGCCAACAAATTTACAAGTAATTGGTAGGTAAACAACTTTTCACTTCAGAGTTTCTAGTAATAATAATAGTACATGTTCCTCTAACCTCAAGTACATATTTCGATTAGACCCTCAACAATGTTTATACGATTGGGTCACATCCCACTGCGTTCAACAATAATAGCAGTATTTTATTAGCTATTTTTATTGCATTACTATAAACGCATTTTGGCAATTTTGGTTAAACTACATGTGGCACATCGATAAAATGTGTCGATCATCTGTACCTTCTTAGGTTACTGTTGTGACCATTAATAACTGGACGAAAACAAAAAATAAAATTCTTGTGTGCTATTTAATGTAAGGAAAAACCTTCTTAGATTAGCATCTGTTTCACCCATCATTTAAACTATGAAGTAATTTTCCCTTGACAAACATCATTTTCTTATTAAATCAGATATCGGAATTTTCTGTAACATGCAGGAGGTAATTTACAGGCCAAAAGACTCTGTAACTAGTATCTGATATACAGGAGTAACCACTATATAAAACGACTTCAAATCTACTATTTTACCTAAAAGTGTTTCATATATTAGCTTACTTATTTTACAGTTTGCTTGATGGATAAATGCGGCTTGAAGTGACCGCTTTCATTAGAGGCTCAATCTCATGCGTAAGGTTGTACGGCTTTTATGGTTCCCACTTCCTCATAACCTGATGGATTTCATTACCTCGAATACTTGGCACCTGAAAAGTTTCAATCAACAGTTGTATTCAGTCAGTTCCTGTCTAACTTTCTTTTGACGCTGCTGATGGTTAACTTTACTTATGGGCTCCCAACCCAGTCTATGTTAACGGTAATATTGTGTTTCACATCATCACTCTTCATAAAAGCGCTTGTATAACTTTAGAAAAAAATCTGAACGCAGATGACTAAAACGTTGGCAACTACTTTTGCACACGTTTTGCACAGGTAATTCAAAACTCTAAAATAAATGAATAGGTAATAAGCATGGATAAAATTTTCATTATATAATGCCTACTAAGAAAGAAAAGGGCTTGAAAAATGCGAAATAATTTAAAAAATGAAAGTTATTTATTCATCTTTTATCTTTTCAGGTTACTTTTATTGTTTAAATATGACGTTGCTCAGTTTGTCAACATTCGCGTCCACTATTGTAGTGCATTTGCACTTCCAGCGTGTCAAGTCAAAGCATGTACCACCATGGCTTGTTAAAGTCAGTTGCCTGTATTATTTTCTGTATTATAATATATTATTCTCTATTTTACTGTAAAGATTACGCTGATAAAATTAGCACTGTTTTCTGTTGTATGAAGATAGTCTCCTATTTCAAAAAGTTGCAAATCAGATTTACTGAACCGTTTTAATTTTATTCCATTCACTGCTGAGTTGTCTGATTGATTATGTTTCAGACTCACTGAAGTATTATTTGTTATATTTTTTAATGTTTTTTTCAGTGGATGGCAGTTATTTGGTGATCCGTTGAGGACCGCACAGCCAACAACACACTTTTTTTACCGTAGATTAGCACTTTGTAAAAGGCTAAATGAAACTCTGATCACTAAAAAGTTGCTTTCCCATGATTTATTGATAACGATAGGGTTTTCGTAACTTGAAGAAGTTGATTATAAGGGAAATCACCACAAAGTGGATTTCAAGGTGTACAAGAAATCTGTGTGCCAATTGAAAATTTCTTCGCTTAAAGGTTTCTGACAGTTTGTCTCTTAAAACTGTTTGATTTGTTCATTATTAGCAATGCAATATATCAGAACAACCAATTCGCTTAAGTAATTAACCCGGTTATGAGCACCGCGAAAGAAATAGATAATGTCTCGAGTCTATTTTCTACTAGTTTCTGATTATAAATTCAATAGTGGCCCAATGTATTAGCTTTGGAGCAAAGACGGATTCCAAACAAATGTTTATTAGATTTATCCACCTTCATTTCACGTAAATATTCAATATACGTTGAAGCTGAATCTAGAAGCCATGAAAATCTGCACTAAAACTGATTCATCACCAAGAAATATTTTCTGTATGTTAACTGACGTAACTTCCAAGCTGTAAATTTTCCAGATCTGCATTTTGATATTAGCTCAAACACTACAGTTTTTATATACCACATTTCAAATAGACTAGTTCAAACAGTATTGATTTAAAGTTTTGTGAGCAAATAGCTAGCACTGTGACTCTTCTTTCTTGTGCTTTTAATTTACTAGGTAGTCCGATTTTTCGCCACATTATTACATGTTTCGAAACTTGAACCATCTGTAACAGATGCAAATCAAAAACTCAGTGTTGTTGAAGCGCAAATTAAAGATTCTAGAATGAAGCAAACTATGAAAACAGATAATTTACTTGAAGCATGGCCATCACAACTTCAACTACTGCCACCACAATCTAACATATTGTACCCCACTGGCTTGGATTCACAATGGGATCATAAGACAAATATGGTGCTGAAACCGGAAAATTACCTTTTAAATTCCAGTAAATTACCTGTTTTCCAAAAGCAGCAGCTTTTATTGTTACAAGAGGGTTCACGTGTGTCATATCCTATTGGGTCTGATGTATGTCAAATACCAGGGCATCCAACAACTAGGACAAATAGCCACCAACAACAAATTATCCCATGGGGTGGGGATTATCCTGTCAATCAGTCAAATGAACTACTAGAAGTAAAGTCGGAAACAGCTAAGATAAATAATGAAATGCTTAGGAAATTTCAACAATCTAGACGACATTCAAGAAGACCTACAATTCAAATGGAGTTCAATTTAGGTGATTTATGCAGTGCACTGAAACAACTCATGCTCAAAATTGCTAAAAAAGATGAAATAGGACAACGTGATCGTGAGTGGAGGTTAGTACTAATGACTATTGATCGTTTATTCAGCTGGTTCTACTCTACCGTCGTCATTGTTGCAGGTATATATCTACTGTTTCCAAGAGGACGTTCACACACAGTTCAGGAGATTATAGCAATGCACCAAGAAAAATACGACATAAGAAATCAAGCTGTAGCAAGACAGTGCATGATGGGATATTCAAAAACAATATAACAGTTTCATCAAGCACTGAGTGTTTAACTACCACAATACAAAAAGTAAAAATTTTCCCTTCATTGTTTAGCTTAGTTATTATTAGTTTATAATTTAATGCCCCTGGATCAAAGCATTTCATTGACAACTGAATTGTTGAATGAATTTTTCTTTCTCATCTCTTTTCCCACATAAACCATATGAAATAATAAAGGGTGCTTTAAAATCATTTTGTTGAGATAATTTTTTTTCCTTTCACTATGTAACTGTTAGATTTTTACTCAGTGAAGGTAGACACTGATCAGGATTTCAATCGCTTGCTGCTGGTTTCATCAAAGTAGAGTAAAATTAAATCATAGTGACTTCTAGTCAACTTCAAGTTTGACTTCTACCAAGCTGATCACTCACTTCAGCACTCATGCAGAGCATTATGAGAAATAGGAAGAGTATGTTATCTTTTTACTATAAATCTGTTTTACATAGTCTATGAAGATGACTAAAGTCTGTAAGGAAGCATCAACTTTGAAAGTTAACAAGAGGATAATGGGTCCTTATTCCAGCGCCTGAGAAAGAATCAGTCAATTCAGAAAGTAAAATGGGTCCAAGAAGAATAGCATGGATTCGTTTTATTTCATGGCTCATCCTCAACTGCTCACAACCTTAATTATTTGAACACCAAAGTACACAAAAAGTTTATATTTCCAGATTATAGAGAATACTTGTAGCTCAAAAGGATATGTTTGATGGTTTTGTGTTCTCTGAGCTGGATGGTTTAGTCGTGAATCTTTCGTTGTCATCGTAGACAGACTTCTTCCTTAAGTTTGTTATGATGATTTCGACTGGACTAACAATGAAAGCTTCACGACTAAATCACCCAGCTCAGAGAACACAGAACCATAGAGCACAAATTAAATATACTTGAATCAGTTTGGTATGGAAATATCAAACTGGAAAAAAGATAAAATCTATGTTGAGTAATTGAAGTCACAAGAATCGAGTGGTAAAAACTAGGAGGACGAATAATAAAGAGATAAATCCGTTGGAACATGTGGTCAGAAACCCTTATCCCTATCCGCCCAACAAATGTTCTGTGGCACGTACACTTGAATTGGTACATGCAATTAGATAACGCGAAAGGACCTTAGACTACTGCAGTGAGAAATTCGTTAGGTATTGGCTGAGCTGGCAGCTGAATGGGTTCTCTATTCTACTGTGTTTATTTTTTGGGTATTTTCCCCAGAGACTTCCTCACCAATGAAGTAAAGATTCAGAAGTATAGGTTTTTTCCTAAATCCACGGCACTTCTCATCTTGAGGTGTTTTTTCATTGTACTTGCCGATGAATTTCTGAAGTTATCCAGTCTGAAGGGCGCAATTTTAGGCAGTGATCATTTCCTGTTTGAGTCTCTCTTTCAGCATGGATGTTGCATACCACTGGATAAAAATTGTCTTCAGCAACTCTTTCTTGCAAATTTTCGTGTGGGAGTTACTGAATTCAAAAGTCTGATCAACGAATCTTTACGATGGATGAATGTTCATTACCTATAGTTGGTTAAATTTCAAGGTTGAGGAAATAAAACTCATTCGGTTAATCTTTCTCTGTACTGTCTTTGCTGTGATGAGTTTTGTTGAGTGGACTAAGCAAATAAACATGTTTGGGGTGATTGCGATAAATGAATTCATCATCATAATATCTTCAGTGGAATACTATTTTGGCAACTGCACTCTGCAGACTCGTGTTCAAGAACCTCATGAAGATGACTGCCAAAATGAAACCCAAGAAAATGTCCGTCTCAATTTTATCAATTTGGTGATATATAGCATTGTTGGAACTAAGTTGTAAATTTCTGATGCACAAGAGTCGTGTTTCAATTCTTCTTTACATCAGAGAGCCAGAGTAAGGCCTCAGTGGTTTTTCCATGACGGACTGCAGTAAATTATTAGAACAGATCAAGGGACACCGTAAAATTCTGAGGAATGTCCATAGCTTATTTTCGAACTTTATCTTTCAACTCACTAACTCTTCTCAAATTTGTTATAACTTGTGTGATAACCACTAAATTAATTTGTGAAACAGCAAGGTCATCATTGTCAACACAGGTCTCGGTGTGTTATTGCTTGTATTATACTGTCGTTGATTAGAATGAATTGATCGGTCCCTATTTGCATATGGGCTCCAGTGCGGATGCCTCGATATACCTGTGTTCTAGTTATAGTAAAGATGGATAGTGCCTAGCAGTGGAATGGGGGATGCGCATTTCGTCGTATTTGGGACTCTTCAGCTGGGTGTAGCTGCCTCCCAGTGAGTGATGTTGTTCCCACCGGGATTCAGACTGGGGAGTGATGGCTTGAAACTCGAGAGCGTTATCCACTACACCACAGAGCCACTATAGCCACTTCTTGTGCGACGGGTATAGTTTTAGTCTTATTGCTTGTATTACACCGTCGTTGATTCGACCAAATTGATCAGTCTGTGTTGGTATATGGGCTCCTGTGCGGATGCCTCGATATTGCCTGTGTTTCAATTATGTATAGTAATGATGTGTAGTGGGTAGCAGTGGAATGGAGGATGCGCACTTCGTCGTATTTGGGACTCCTCCGCTGGATGTAGCTGCCTCCCAGTGAGTGTTGTTTCCATCTTTACTAGGTCTCAGTGGCTTAAAATTCCATGTTTTTGGAAAATATAACAGAATGCAGGAAACCAGTTCACCAACTGTCAGAATTCAAGCTGATGAGTCAACCGAAAGTAGTTATGCTTCCATCCAAACTGGCTGGCATCACTTATCAATCTGTTCTCTCACCAAATCCGCAACCCATAGTTCCACTTATTAATTACAAAACAGCCCGACCGATAGCTGTTACCTTGATGTGGTAGTCGGGCTTGTATATCACAATGACCAAAAAAGCTATGCTAGTGGAACCCTTGCCCCCTCGAGGTCCTACCTTACCAGGAAGGTCTGTTGAATAGTGATTGGACAAAAAGCAGTTACCATTATAGGGTTTTTGGCGGCGTGTTCCAACGAATTTATCTCTTTATTATTCGTTCTCCTAATTTTATCACTCGATTCTTGTGACTTCAATTACTCAACATGGATGTTATCTTTTCTCCAGTTTAATATTTCCCCACCAAACTGATTCAAGTACATAAACGTTTTTGTGCACCTTGACGTCTGAATAGTTGAGGTTATGAGCAGCTGATGATGAGTCTGTAAATAAAATGGACCAATGCTTTTCTGCTGAAAGCGTTATGGTTGCTGACTGAATTCAATCAGAAAAGCAATTCCAGGAAATTCTTTGCTACTGTAGATATTAATGTCACCGTAGTTTTAATGACTTTGCGACTTGCACGGAGAAATCCTTTAGAGAAAGGGTATGTGAAGCTACATTTTTAACCAACTACAACAGGTTTGTTATCATGGAGGTAGCAATTTAAAGTTATTCATTAACAAGTTAACTTCTCAGTTATAAGTACTAGATGTTTATGAAATTACCAATGTAATTAATTCATGTCTTGAATGAACATTGTCGATCTTCAGGAATCGCCCGTTCTTATGCAGTATAACACAGCTTTCGCAAGCGGATGATCGTGTTCCGTGACTGCACATACATTTGTCAGTTCATTATTATCTCAAAAATGATAGCCGAAGGATAAGCTGAGGTAAATAAATAGAATCCTTAGATGAAACACCAATCGATCTTTTTACCACAAGTCACTTCATTCCTTTTCTGGAAAGTTAACACTATTGAAGGATATGCATCTGCCGTACCTTCCAGAACAATATACCCAGTCCTCTGACTATATTCTCACCATCGTTAAATAGAAACGAGATTACAATGCCTGGGTTAGGTCCTTACGAACTTATGCTTCATTAAATGGGGCAGTGTCAGCTGACCATGGAGCACAAGATGTTAAGGTTGTTTCTAGAGTATTAAACTAACTGGATTGCTTACCAATATTCATGAAATTTGATGATCGGAGGAAAATCTGTTTCATATACTGTATATAGTCTTTACTTTTGATTGCACCATCTCATTAATTATTACTACCACTACTATTACACTTATTAATCACTACATAAGTAGAAATATACTTTCTACGATGGACTATTAACCACTTAACGATATTCAAGTTTTTCATGTGATTACACAACCGACTAGCTCTTAAACAATCCCTTCTTTTACACTGATTTTTGCTTGTTGTCCCCCCCCCCCCACTCCACAGCTCCAGAATTTTCTATCTCACCAGATATAAATTACCATTGATTTTGACTACTAGTCCCGTGTTTCCTTGACACACTACCTTATTGTTAATCCTGGGTTTCAAATCTCCATTTATTTCTATATATCTAAAGTATGTCATGCTATTATTACTACTATTACCTCATCTCAATTGTAGATTGTTTCCAGCTGATGAAAGGTCATGAAATGAAATGAGCTCATTTTATTCTGAAAGTGTCTTTGTTCTCGCATTGTCCAAGTTTGTCAAGGGAACTAAATGTATGACATTATATCAAAATGTCTAGATATAGACTATTTCCGTAATTTTATTCTTGCTTCTATCTTACTACATTGTAATGGTTGGGATACTTGGTTCATTGTTAGTTTGTACGAAATTCCCATTCCAAACAAACCTTAGGTAAAAAGTGGTTTTCAAACCTGGACAAAGTGTTTTGGAAAGGCTTCGTGGACACATACAGTAAGACCGAGTATTACCTACTATAATGCCTTGAAGTATATGGAGTTTTCTAAGTAGGTTTGTCTAACGCAAGGTTTTAAGTTTGTGGTGCCTTTGAATCGTAAATCATTAGCTTATAGTGGCTCTCACGTACAATTACTGTGAGCATTATTATCGCTTTTTATAAAGTTTTAATAAGTCTCAGTTCCACTGTGAATTGGTGACCAAGAAAGGTTGAATGTTCAACGCTTTCGTGGATGGGTTTTCCTGTCATTTACCTCAGAACACCAGTCTAGTAGTAAGGCAAATTGTTGCACTGTGTATGTCAAAAGGTGTGAGTTGCGCAATAGATTTGCCGATGGGAGGAAGCATGTGACAATGCATCTATCTTACTCCTTTCACCTATGTACAGTGTGCATGCACATTATATATCTCCTCCTCAGTTTTGTACACGATTAAATTTCATATAAAAATTTTTACTAGCAGAACTATGAGATTATGACAAAGAATGGCATCTGCATTTTACGTACAATATTGTCTTAACGCATCTTCAGCCTTCCGCATCATCACTGAAGTCTAGTGACAGTTCCAGTACTGCAAGGAAATGAGGAATTCCCCATTTACCGTAGTGACAGCAACTGACATCCACGACCAATCTCATCATATTTCCTCTAATTACAGCTGTAGTTATTATTATTATTAT